GCCATGCTGGCTGGGGAATTCTGGGAGTTGAAGTCCAGACATCTTAAAGCGGCCAAGGTTGAGAAACACTGGTGTATGGGGAGTGGATTCCCACAAGAGACTAAACCAGGCTAAAACAGCTCGTGCCTTTGTTGAGAACCCGGCTTCATACCGAAAGCCTTATGCGAACCACACGGATGTGTGAAGTCAGCCATCCGTTCTGTTAACACAAAGGTGAGCAGTTCGCACTGCGTGAGCCCTGCCCTTGTTTTCAGGGCAAGATAATTCCCAGGGCCCCAATCCAACTGCGGGAAGAATTTACAGGATTGGACACGCAAGCGGGTTCCCCTGGATAGGCTGCTAAAAAATGAGCAAAACCGATTTTACCTTGGACCCCTCGGAGCAGGAGAGGCGAAAACTAAGCTGAAGCCCCCTTAGCTGAACTTAGCTTTCATTAATTAGATCCCTGGGAACTGTTCGTGATTTCCTCCTCCATATTTAAAATGACAACATCTTCAAAGGGATAAAATAAAATTCACCAGAGAGGAAGAAAACGACACACTACCCTTTCTGGATAGGAAACAACAGCAAATTAGAAACCCAAGTTCATCGGAAGACAACCCACACCAATCAAGTACTCCATTACCAAAGTAACAACCCCACCTCCCCCAAGAGGAGCTGCGCAAGAACATTATTCCGACGAGCACAAACGCACTGCAGAAGGAAAAAGGGAGTCCTCTGCAACATACAATGCAAGGACTGTAACAGCCACTATGTGGGACGGACAGGCAGAAGGCTGGCAGAGCGCGTCCATGAGCACCAACTAGCAGTCAGAAGACTCCTTAATCTCACAACACATGGACAGACTCAACCATAGTTTCAACTGGGAAACTGTCAGCATCCTAGGCCAAGCCAAATCCAAAAATGCGAGGGAATTCCTGGAAACCTGGTATTCAGACAAGGCAGCCATCAACAGGCACATAGAGATAAACAGCATCTACATACCATTCAAAAGAGACAATAGAAAGGAAAACAAAAGACCAGAACATCTTCTCATCAGTAATCATCACCCAGATAAGTGGAGATTAACACCAAGATTATCACCAGACATACAATCAAGCAGTAAACAATACTCTAATCAAGGGACTACCAGAGAAACAACACAACCAACCCTGGCAGGGCATGCCACTGTACCTAAACAGGGAGCAAACCCCACTCCCTTCTAGCACTGAAGATGTGACCCAGCCGGATAATGAAACATTTGCAAGAAAACAGCCGAGCTCAGAGAACCCCGAGGACTCCACAAAACGGCAATTTGGCAGAAACGGGTGGAAAGTCTCCAAGGGGCACCCCAAAGCTTTCAGGGGTCATATGTAGCCCGGGGAGTCAGGGCCACACTCTCAGAGGATGCCTCTGATCAGTGTGGATCATTCAGGCATTTCTGAAAGGGTTTCCTCCCGCAGCTGATTCAGAAATCGGATGGCTTTTCGGATTCAGACTGACCCGAATCACCACGGATGCCAGTCTGACTCGAGGCAACAGCTGGAATCAGATTTTGCAAGAGTCCCACGATGCTTCTCCGCTGTCCTGGGTAACCACCGATCTCCCAGACCTCGCTATCCCCCTACCCCACTCCTTTGCCAACCGAGATCCTTCCATCTGGGGCTCTGGCCAAGCTCCACAGCCACGATTCTGCTTTACTGGAGCACCTTCATGCGCAGATGTGACATCCACACGTCCTCCGACTAAAGGAATTCCGATTAAACATAAAGAGAGAGAAAAAAAATCACCATTTTTCTCCAGTGCTTTTGGTGCTGTCAGCAAATTCGGGCGGGTCATATTTTTCCAGCTCAGGGATCCCCTTTCGTGGCACGGTAACGTCTCCCTGCGCCGAGCACATGTAATCTAAACCACCAAGTTTCCATTCGCCGGCACGGTCCACGAAAACCACGCCCATGCAGAGGTTGTTGTGGACGAGGTGACAGTCGTTCGCCAGGAAACTGAGGGCTTTCTAGGGAGGAGAGACAAACCCTGGTCACAGCAAAGCCTGGGTGAAAATGCACACCCTGGCCAACGAGGCCGCCTTCACACGACCCGCTCAATTCCTGCAAGAAAAGGCAGGATATAAACCGAAGAAACAAACAAATACGTATTTCCTTGGCACATTTTAACCTCCGCTTCTTTTTGTGACTTCGCACGTTACAAGAACGGGCCCCGTTTAAACAGATCGATGCTTCGCTATATGACTCAACCACCCCGAACGGGCTAATCCGATCACCAGGATGGGCGTGTTTTGTGAACACGGGCAGGGAGTCTTCTCAGACAACTAAACCGGGGCGGTTAAAAATGTGTGAGGTGCGATACTGTGGGATAGCAAGAGTGTTAACCTTAATTGAGGACAGTTGTTGGTCTGGTCACACAAAGGCCAGCTCTACTTATATGGGCAGCCTGTAGTGAAAAATTATTATGCAAACCTGGAAAATAGGGGTTTTTTGGGCCTAGTGGTGGGGAAGAGTAGAACTGCCAATACTGTATAGCAGTGTTTCTCAGCCTTGGGAACTTTAAGACGGGTGGACTTCAACTCCCA